GCCTGCCACCTTGCCTGGCTAATTTTTGTATTTTTAGTAGAGATGGGGTTTCACCATGTTGACCAGGCTGGTCTCGAACTCCTGACCTCAGGTGATCCGCCCACCTCAGCCTTCCAAAGTGCTCAGACTACAGGCGTGAGCCACGTGAGCCACGGAGGGGCCCGGAATAGGTGCTTCTTACCCCACTCCTGCAGCTGGCCTTTGTCACTCAGCATCATGTTTCTCCTTCCGAGTTATCTGTGTGGCCTGTGTGTGTAGTTCTGTCTGGCTCGGGCCTTTTATCCTCTAGGGAGGACCCATCTGGGAGGATGGGCATATAGGCTGTGCTGTATGCAATTTGTGCCAATTTAGTACAAGCCAGCAGCAAACACCTTTCTGGACTCTCCTGCTTCAGGCTTGGGGTTCCCTGCTGGAACCTGCTGGTCACAGGATGGGTGACCTTTTTAGTTTTCACAGCTAGTGTCCAATCAATTAGTCCAGGCCTCACCAATGTCATTTGCGGTGACAAGGTTCAATGCTGCCTTTTCTGATGGGTCCAATGGGGTCTTGGGGATGGGTGTGTCTCAAGGGGATGTGTCTGTAGGGTGTTTGTTCCAGCCCCATCTTCCGTCCCATCACTTTCAGTCCCCAGCCCCACGGCGGCCGGGCACCGGAAACCCCCAAGGCCCGGGCGGGGGCGGGGGTCGGCCAAGCCGCTTCCCGCGGAAGGAAGGGCCCGGCGGTTCCTGCGACAGGATGCGCGGCGAGGCCCCCTCCCCAGCGGCCCGGGACTTCCCCAAGCCGCGCCACGCTAGCGGGGGAGTAACTCCGACGTGGGTGCATTGAGCTACTGCCTGCGGTGTGGGGCTCCAATGCCCCCACGTCCCCTGGGGGAGTTGGGTGGGTCAGGAATCAGAGTAGGTGGCGCCTTTTAAAAGTCCCCCCACGTGTTCCCAGGAAGGAATCAGGCAGCCGTGGGGGCGAGCTTGGCTGGAGGAGAACGGTGAGAAGCTCTCCTTCACAATCCACACAGGAGGGGAAAGGGGGTGTGGGTTGGACGGAAGGGGAACCAAAGCTCCCAGATTCCACCAGCAGACGTTTTGAGGCCGGTCTGCCCCTCCTTCTACGCTCCGGCCACGGGGTCAGTTCCCCTGGGGTCATGGGAAGCCTGCGGCGGCAGAGCCAGCCGTCGGGGGGGCGGGGCGAGTGCTTTCCCGGCGCCTCCCGCCGCCACCACTCCCTGCACCTGCGACTCCTTTGTCTTCCCGACAGGCCCCCTCCCTTCGCCCTGGGGCAACGCCTACAACCCCACTCCTAAACATACGTGGGGGACATTGAAAGGGCTTTCTCCTTTCAGGGTGGTTATTCTAGAGCTGAGGAGTGACCCAAGCAAATAACTAGGGCTGTAATGGGCATTTTTAAAAACCTAAAGCTGGGTGGAGACACTGCTTAGAGGCCCATTTCACAGATGAAGAAACTGAGGCTGCACGTCCCTGCCTAAGCCACAAAGCGATTTCTCCAGGAAGATACGGGAATTGGGGAATAAATAGCCCTTCAAAGCTCACCCGCTCAGCTCCACCTGAGGCTGTAGGGCCCCGGGCCGCAGCTGATTCAGTTTGGTCTCGGGGTGGGGGCGGGGGGAGAGATCTACCACCTTTCAAGGCTCCAAAGGGCGATCAGTCCCCAGCTCCGCTTGGGGCACTGTTTAGTACTATCGTCTCAACTCAGAAAGCCCCGACCTCCCTGTCCCGGAGTTGTAGGACAATTTCAAAGGAACCCCCAAATCTGGAGGGGGCGGGGCTCCAGTTAGGGAATGCCCGGGCAAGGAAGAGGGCCCAGCCCTCTCCCGCCCACGTGGTAACCGGTCAGACCGGTTCTTGGGGCCCCAGCGAGCCGCCGCCAGCCCCTGACCCTTTAACCCCGCCCCTCCCCCACCAGAGCAGAAAACCAGACAGCACCGGCTTTTTTACTCAAATGGTCTTTATTTTCCTATCTGACATTTCTAACAAAACGCCAGGTAGACGGAGTTAAAAAGAATTCACCACACGAAGGGTAAACAAAACAGACCCTCAGGAACTCCCTGGCAAAGATGTTCCCCTCCCCAGATTGTCCCAGTTTCACCAGCAACTGGTCTCAGCTCAGCTTTATGCTTTTCCACTGACACCCCCACCCCTCCAACATTCTCGTGATTCAGACCAGGAACTCCTGGGATGATTGTGTCCGTGTCTGAGGGAGGGGCACCTCTAATGCAGATGAGAAAAACTTGAATGTGAAACTAGATCAGCCCCCGCTCTCACCCGAAGGTGCAGAGGCGCGGGACATTAACCAGCAGCACGCGGGGGTGAAGTGACTCAGGCCACTCTCCTCCCCACTCCCCAGGGCGGGTGCACGCCCCAGACCCTCCTCCCAGGCCCCACACCCACGCAAGGCGACAGGAAGCTCCCCACGCCTGCCCCATGACGCAACGATGACCGCTTACACAAGTATGTCAGTGGAGGGGGAAGGGGAGTGCCTGGAATTCTCCGAGGTTGGAAACGCAAAACCAACTCTTGAAAAACCTTGAAAAGGGCCAGCACAGCCCCCAGTACAAAATCAAGTCCGACCCTGAGGAGATCTAAAAAACAAAACAAAACAAAAATACAAAACAAAAACCCAAGCCTCCCTTCTGCCAGTCCAGAAGGGAAGCGAAAGGTTCACGTCCCAGTCCACTAAGACAGCACCTCTGGGCGCAGGTCTCTGCGGAAGGCGCCCGCGCCCCCGGCTCAGACTCCTCGGTGCCGTCGCTGCACACTGAAGGCGATGGCTCCCCAGGGACAGAGTCCCTCTCCGGGCCTCTCAGCAGCCCGGGCGGCGGCTTCTCTCCACGGTTTTCGCGGGCGCTCCCCCCGGGATGGAGGGGGGTGGCCTCGTCTCGGGTCTGCGCCCTCCGGCCGACGGTTCGACGCGCGCTCTGGGATCTGGCAGCGCCGCTCGGGGTCCTCAAAAGGCCACCACGGCCCGCACGAGCACGTTGAGCATGCTGTCCGCCGGGCGGCAGGCGGGCTTTGCCTCGCACGCGGGCGGCGCCGTCGGAGGGGCCGCGGGGCTGCAGTTCAGGAGGCCGGAGAAGCGCCTCTGCAGGACGCGGGCCAGGTTGGGAAAGGCGCCCTCCGCTTGCGCCGGGGGCGGTTGCAGGCGATCGGCGACTTCGGATGACGCCCCCTCCTCTTCCTCCTTTTCTTCCAGCCGGGCTTTCTTGCTCGGGACCAGTCCAGCGTCCCCGCCGTCGCTCAGGCTGCTGCTGCGTCGTTTGCGGCTGACTTTGGCGGGGCGCGGGGCACAGTAGGCGGAGGTCTCCTCGGCTGTCGGCGCCTCCTGCGTGTCCATGGGCTCCGCAGACGGGTGCTCACCGTCGGGGGTCGCTGTCTCGGCCGTGGACTCAGCTTCCCGGGGCGGGTGCAGGCGAGGGTCAGAGGGGAGGGCGGGCGGCAAGGACACCTCGGGCTCGAGGGCCTCTACCTTGGCCGAGAGGTAGAGCTCCCGGGCGCTGCGCATGACCAGCGACAGCTGCAGACTCCGGTGCAGCCGCAGGCCACCGCGCTGCATGCGGGAGTGATACATCTTCCACACCGACAGGGTCATGATGCGCTGTGCCTCCTTCTGCACTTCCATGGCGACTCGACGGCGACGGCGGCGTGGGCTCCCGGGACGGACAGAACAGGCAGCAGGTGCACTCCGGACAACGGGCTCGCTCACGCCTCTCTCCACGAACCAACCCACGCAGTGACACTGCTAGGACGCTCTGCCCGGGCGCCCGCCACCCAGGCCCTTTTATACCCCCAGTGACGTCACTGAGAAACCCCGCCCAACCGAAGGACGCATCCGGGCTTTCCAACTCGTCGCGGCTAAACACTCCTTAAAGCGACAGAATGCGATTTACCCAGCAGGGAAAGGGGACGGGAACCCTGGCGAAGCTTCCCCCGACTCCACGCTGAGCTCTCTGGGTGGGCTCCTTTCTCTCGGCCCCGCCGATGCATCAGCGCCTTGGCCCAAGGGAGGGGGGCCGGGGGTGGGGCTCAGGGCCTACCCACATGCTCGCGTCTAGAGGCCCCAGTGGGTCGTGGGTGGCAAGTTTCCCTTCACACAGGGAAAGACCTGGGTTCCAGCCTGACCATGAGTGTCTTCTGCACCAATAATCATGCTAACAGCGCTTACTACGTGCCAGGCTAGGTTAAGAGCTCTCCTTTTATCAGTAATTCACTGAACCGCAGCCTCCACTCCTCGGAGGTTACTGTTCTATCTGCTTCTTTCAAATGGGGAAACCAAGGCACAGTCACTGGGCCAATATTTACTAGACAAACAATATTTGCTACTGCTGTGAAAGGAGGTCACTGGGGCCTCCAGCTCTTCGGTCTCTAGCGTACGACAGCCCTTGCTTGTAGGCGGTGAGCCGCCTCGAGCTGCGGGTTCCCGTGATTCGTACCAAGCCATTCCCCCGCAGTCTCCTGCGACAGGAGCTCCATGGGTGGGTTTAGAGCTCGCACGGCTGCGAACCCGGCGCGCACGACAGTCCCCGTGAACACGTGGCTGCCGCCCCCCAGACAAGGGGGACGAGTTCCGCCTCCGCGCTCCGGGAGGCGGGGTTCGGTTGGGAGCTGGAAACCCAGCAATGCAGAGACACAGCAAATAGAAAACCTCCGCCCTACCCTCCGCTACGCGCCGTCTCTCCAAGAAATCCTAATTGCAATTCCTCCAAAAAAAGGATGCAGACTTGTTCGAATGGCTCCATTCATTCCTGGTGCGGGCCCTTTAAGGGGTGGTGCGCCTCCCGTTTCCGCCCGCACTGGCTCGCGGCGCCTTCCCGCCACCAGCGCCCGCTGACTTCCACAACTAAATTTGGACGGAGTGACGTAGGACAGTCGCGCGGGCCGCTTCCGGTTGCCCATATTAGGAAAGGGCCCGTGATCGCCTTACCAGGCGGTGGCGGGGCTTCCGGAGGGGCGAGGGGCGGGGCTTTGCGCTCCGGGCACGCCCCTTCCCATCCCCCGTCTAGCCAGCCGGAGCAGGCTGGAGCCCCAGGCTTCCTGACTCGCATTCCAGCCATGTGGGTGGGGAGGAGAGTTTCACTTCCTTCCCGCCAGGGGCCAGGAAGGCGTGACGCCAGGAAAGCACCCCGCAGCGGGTAGGGGCGACCGGAGGGCTCCCACGGAGGCCATCTCCCAGAGACGCTACAGAACGACCCTACATACACAAGAGACGACCCGCTGAGACCCCGTTCATCCCATCTCTCCCCTTCCCAATTATTTCCCCCATACAAGGCCCCCTCCCAGGTTATCCCTGACCCCTGCCCCACACTGATCTTCTCAGGCCTAGGGGCACCCTCCCGTCCCGCCCTCCCCCCGCACGGTGGGAACTCAAAAATTATTCCCCCTTAAAAGACCATTCCCAAACTCGTCCCCATTCAACGATGGTGCCACACTGCGACGACCTGCCGAAGACGCCCCCGTCCCCGCCCCGCTAACCTTGCCACGGAGACCCCACAATGACTTACCCGGCCCAGGCGCTATCTCTGAGACCCCACGCAGCAACTCTGACGCGCAAGGGGGCGACCCTCTGAGGACTCCCTCGGATAACCCGCCCACCCTCCAGGGGAGACCAGGCCCCCTACCACTCAAAAAAGTGCTTTCCCGAAGCTTCCCTCACCCCTCAACACACAGCGCGCCACTGTCACACATAGGGACGACCCTGAGTCCCTTCGCTGATATTCCTGGCCCGTACCCAGACGGAGACCCCACACAGAGGGCCCCCCTGGAGACCATCCTCAAAGCCACCATACCTCCCGCGACCCCCAGGCTCGCACCCAGAAAGAATCCGCGATTCTGAAGACACCCACCTCCAGGCACGCTCTCGAAGGTGACCTCCCCCCGCCCCTGGAATATCTGGGACCCCCACTCACGGCCACCTCGCCCCAAGGCGACCTCGAGGTGCCCCCAGCTTGCCCACTTCTCAGGAAAGAGAGATTTGGAGAATGCGGCAGAACTCCCCGCAGGAGCAGGCCCGCTCCTCGCCCCGCCCCGGCAGGGAGAAGGAAGGACCACCTCTCCCCCAAACCTTGCCCAAACCTGACACTCGGGACCCTGGACTGGGACGATCTCCCAGGTGCCAGCTCAGGGAGTCCATGAAAACGTTCAACCAATCGAATGAGCCCCTTCCCCAGCCATAGTCCCCAGCCGCCAGAGATAAGGGAGGCTACCATTATTTACATTGCCCGTGCCTGGAAGGGAAACTGAGGTTGAGCAGGAACAATCCGAGGAACTGAGCCTTGAACCGAGATTCCGAACTCGGACCCGAACAGGCCCAGCCAGAACTCCGACACCGCCCCCTACGGTGCGGCACAAGAGGGCGAAGGGGCGGGGCATGCGTACCGGAAGCTGCCTCTGCCCACAACCAAGATGGCTGCAGAGAGGGCGGAAGTGTCCGCACGTCCGGCCTCCGAGGCCTCTCTTTCTGCCCTGGCGGTCCCGCTCTCGATGGTGGCGTGACGGGGGGCGGGGGTGGTGGCGCGTTCTCCTGGGTTGGGAGAGAACGAGCCCGCGAACCCAGGCCGGGAGGGGGTTTCGGCCTGGGGGGAAGGGGATTGACATGTCTCTCGAAGACCCCTTTTTTGTAGTCCGAGGGTGAGTGACAACGACGGGGGAGGGCGGAGGGTGCTCCGTCCCCAATCCAGCTAGTGCCCGGGTGCCGGCTCCAGCGTGCCCGGCGGGCTAGGCAAGGCCGTCGGGGTGCAAAGTGGGAGGCGCACGCAGGGGTATGTGGGGGTCTCCGGAGTCCCCCATGCGTTTGGGTTTGCAATCGGGGGCAGAGGCAGGCGGAAGGACCGCCTGCCCCCAGCTGCGCCCGCCGTGCCCCTGCCCGCAGCGAGGTGCAGAAGGCGGTGAACACGGCCCGCGGGCTATACCAGCGCTGGTGCGAGCTTCTGCAGGAAAGCGCGGCGGTCGGACGCGAGGAGCTGGACTGGACGACCAATGAGCTACGGAATGGCCTGCGCAGCATCGAGTGGGACCTCGAGGACCTGGAAGAGACCATCGATATCCTGGGGCTTTGTGGCGGGGGGTGGCATGGGAGAGCTCACTGCGGTAGCAGGGGGCCTGGGAGCCCGCCCTCGGGGAGGGCTAGAGCCCTAGGGAGGGAGATGATGATGATATCTGGCTCTGGCCTTGACCCTTGACTCTCAGCCCACGTATAGTGGAAGCCAACCCAGGCAAGTTCAAGCTCCCGGCCGGGGACCTGCAGGAGAGAAAGGTGTTCGTGGAGCGGATGCGAGAGGCAGTCCAGGTCAGGAAAGGTCCTGCAGGCGGGGAGTGGGGGACGGTTTGAGTGTCTTTTTTGTTTTGTTTTGTTTTCTTTTCTTTTTTTTAACAGAGTCTCACTCTGTCGCTCAGGCTGGAGTACAGTGTTGCCATCTTGGCTTACTGCAACATACGCCTCCCGGTCTCAAGCGATTCTCGTGTCTCAGTCTCCTGAGTAGTTGGGACTTCACAGGTGCCTGCCACCATACCCGGCTAATTTTTGTGTTTTTAGTAGAGACGAGGTTTCACCATGTTGGGCAGGCTGCTCTCAAACTCCCGACCTCAGGTGATCCACCCGACTCGGCCTCTCAAAGTGCTGGGATTACAGGCGTGAGCCACCGCGCCGGGCCTGAGTGTCTTTCCTCCCTAATGCTGTCCTCACCTCCAGGAAATGAAGGACCATATGGTCAGCCCAACAGCCGTAGCATTTTTGGAGAGGAATAACAGAGAGGTAAGCCTTCCTAACCCACTCGGTCCACCTGAGCGCCTGGGGGTGACCACGCCTTTGAGTGCAAGCCAGATCCCTCTGCATGTGTTCACCTGTCCCTTTTGCGACAGTGCCCGTCCTCTCTGTGTGCAGTTGTCTTCTTGCTGTCTACCTGCCTGCACTTTCTCGGTGTGTGCACCTGAACTTCTCTGTGTGTGTATGTCCATGGGTTCCTCTCTACTGTCTCCTCTGGGTCTATACTGGTTTCCTGTTGCAGGGGACGGCTGGGGGCCTGTGTACCTATCTGCTTTCTGCTTCCATGCCGTTTGTCCTGTTTGCAGCTGTTTCCAGGACGCATGCCTGCCTTTTACTCTTTTATTTTTTGAGATGGAGTCTTGCTCTGTTGCCCAGGCTGGAGTGTAGTGGCTCGATCTCAGCTCACTGCAAGCTCCGCCTCCTGGGTTCAAGCGATTCTCCTGCCTCAGCTTCCCTAGTAGCTGGGATTACAGGTGCCCATCACCATGCCCAGGTAATTTTTATATTTTTAGTAGGGTTTCATCATCCTGGACAGCCTGGTCTCGAACTCCTCACATCTCACATCAAGTGATCTGCCCGCCTCAGCCTCCCAAAGTGCTGGGATTACAGACATGAGCCATCGCGCATAGCTTCCTTTTTTTTTTTTTTTTTTTTTTTTTCCTGAGATGCAATCTCGCTCTGTTGCCAGACTGGAGTGCAGTGGCGCGATCTTGACTCACTGCAACCTCCGCCTCCTGGGCTCAAGTGATTCTCCAGCCTCAGCTTCCTGAGTAGCTGAAATACAGGCACATGCCACCATGCCCGGCTAATTTTTTTTTTTTTTTTGAGACGGAGTCTTGCTCTGTTGCCCAGGCTGGAGTGCTGTGATGTGATCTCGGCTCACTGCAACCTCCGCTTCCCGGGTTCAAGCCATTCTCTGTCTCAGCCTCCCGAGTAGCTGGGATTATAGGCTTCCACCAGAATGCCTGGCTAAATTTTGTATTTCTTTTTTCTTTTTTTTTTTTTTTTGAGACGGAGTCTCGCTCTGTCGCCCAGGCTGGAGTGCAATGGCCGGATCTCAGCTCACTGCAAACTCCGCCTCCTGGGTTTATGCCATTCTCCTGCCTCAGCCTCCCGAGTAGCTGGAACTACAGGTGCCCGCCACCACACCTGGCTAGTTTTTTGTATTTTTTTAGTAGAGACAGGGTTTCACCATGTTAGCCAGGATGGTCTTGATCTCCTGACCTCGTGATCTGCCTGTCTCAGCCTCCCAAAGTGCTGGGATTACAGGCTTGAGCCACTGCGCCCGGCCAAATTTTGTATTTCTAGTAGAGACGGGGTTTCAACATCTTGGCCAGGCTGGTCTTGAACTCCTGACCTCGTGATCCACCCACCTCGGCCTCCCAAAGTGCTGGGATTAGGTGTGAGCCACCGTGCCCGGCCAATTTTTGTATTTTTAGTAGAGACGGAGTTTCATCATATTGGCCAGGATGGTCTCGATCTCCTGACCTTGTGATCCACCAGCTTTGGCCTCCCAAAGTGCTGGCCTCCCAAATGGCATGAGCCATTACGTCCGGCCAGCTTCCTTTTTTTTTTTTTTTGTTAAACGGAGTCTTGCCCTATTGTCCAGGCTGGAGTGCAGTGGTGCAATCTTGACTCACTGCAACCTCCACTTTCCGGGTTCAAGCAATTCTCCTGCCTCAGCCTCCCGGGTAGCTGGGACGACAGGAGTGTGCCACTATGCCCGGCTAATTTTTGTGTTTTTAGTAGAGACGGGGTTTCCCCGTGTTGGCCAGGCTGGTCTCGAACTCCCGACCTCAGGTGATCTGCCCCCACCTTTTCATCTGTGCATGCACCTCACCTATTTGGGTGCGTGCACTTGGCCTCTGAGTGTATCTGCATTTCCCCCCGTCATATCCTCATATCCGCCAGTTTCCTCTGTAATGTGCCTGCTGTGTGTGTGTGTATGTGTGTCTGTGTGTCTGTGTTTCTCCCAACCACCCCTGTCAGTCTACCTTTTCTCTTGGTGTTCTCTGTTGATATTTTTCATATGTTGAGAACCACCAGCCTTTCTCCCTCATAAGCCTACATGGGGTCAGGGAGGGTCCTACCAGTTTGTCATCCCATAGCTGTGCCCACATGCCTTCCAGATGTGCTGCCTTGGGGGAATTGAAGTCCAAACTCTAAAATACATCTGTTGAAGCCGGGCATGGTGGCTCACACCTAAAAGCTCAGCACTTCGTGAGGCCGAGGCAGGTGGATCACGTGAGGTCAGGAGTTCAAGACCAACCTGGCCAACAAGATGAAACCCTGTCTCTACAAAAAATACAAAAATGAGCCAGGCGTGGTGGTGAACACCCATAATCTCAGTTACTTGGGAAGCTGAGGCAGGAGAATTGCTTGAACCCGGGAAGTAGAGGTTGCAGTGAGCCGAGATCACACCAGTGTACTCCAGCCTAGGTGACAGAGCAAGACGCTGTCTCAAATAAACAAACAAACAAACAAACATCTGTTGGGCCAGGTGCAGTAGCTCATGCCTATAATCCCAGCACTTTGGGAGGCCGAGGCGGGTGGATCACTTGAGGTCAGGAGTTCGAGACTAGCCTGGATAACATGGGGAAACCCCATCTTTACTAAAAATACAACAATTAGCCAGATGTGGTGGCAGGTGCTTGTAATCCCAGCTAAAATCCCCCCCGAAATAAATAAATAGTAAAATGTGACATTTACTAGCATTACTATGTGTTGGGTACTGCTCTAAGTGTCCCCCATGAATTCTTTTTTTTTTTTTTTTTTTTTGAGACAGAGTCTCGCTCTGTCGCCCAGGCTGGAGTGCAATGGCCAGATCTCAGCTCACTGCAAGCTCCGCCTCCCGGGTTTACGCCATTCTCCTGCCTCAGCCTCCCAAGTAGCTGGGACTACAGGCACCCGCCACCTCACCTGGCTAGTTTTTTGTATTTCTTTAGTAGAGACAGGGTTTCACTGTGTTAGCCAGGATGATCTTGATCTCTTGACCTTGTGATCCACCTGCCTTGGCCTCCCAAAGTGCTGGGATTACAGGCTTGAGCCACCGCGCCCAGTCTTTGAATTAATTCTTTAAATCCTCATTTCAACCCAGAAAACTTCCCATTTTATTTATTTTTTTTGAGGCAAGTTCACTCTGACACCCAGGCTGGAATGCAGTGGTGTGATCTCAGCTCACTGCAACTACCACCTTCCAGGTTCAAGTGATTCTCCTGTCTCAGCCTCACAAGTAGCTGGGATTACAGGCGTGCACCACCACACCTGGTATTTATTTTATTTTATTTTATTTTATTTTATTTTATTTTATGTTATTTTATTTTATTTTATTTTATTATTTTTTATTTTATTTTTTTATTTTTTGAGAGAAGGTCTTAATCTGTCACCCAGGCTGGAGTGCAGTGGTGTGATCTCGGCTCACTGCAGCCTCCGCCTCCCAGGTTCAAGTAATTCTCCTGTCTCAGCCTCCCAAGTAGCTGGAATTACAGGCACCCGCCACCATACCTGACTACTTTTTGTATTTTTGGTAGAGATGGGGTTTCACCATGTTGGCCAGGCTAGTCTCAAACTCTTGACCTTGTAATCCATCTGCCTCGGCCTCCCAAAGAGCTGGGATTACAGGCATGAGCCACTGCAGCCAGCCCAATTTTTGTACTTTTAGTAGAGATGGAGTTTCACCATGTTGGCCAGGCTGGTCTCAAGCTCCTGACCTCAAGTGATCTGCCCACCTCTGCCTCCCAAAGTGCTGGGATTACAAGCCTGAGCTACCATGCCCGTCCTGTTCTCTGCATTTTACAGATGAGGAATCTGAGGCACAAGGAAGTCAAATGACGGGGTCTCTGGGTCACCTTGCTAGTAAGTGGTGAGTGGGGAATGCAGGCTTTCCTGCCCCAGAGTCTGCCTCCCTGACTCACCACTGTAGGGATTTGTCCCCCATGCCCCTCTGGGAGTTGGGGTCCCTCCCCGAGCCTATGTCGTGTGCCCCTGCAGATCCTGGCAGGCAAGCCAACTCCCCAGAAGTCACTCAGCGACCTGCTGGATGCCAGTGCAGTCTCGGCCACGTCTCGCTACATCGAAGAGCAGCAGGCCACACAGCAGGTTTTGGGGCCGGTGGGGTGGATCCAGGGAGGGGAGAGTCTTGCAGACCGATCTGAGGTCTGAGGTCCCTTTATGTTGTTGTTGTTGTTGAGATGGAGTCTTGCTTTGTCGCCAAGGCTGGAGTGCAGTGGCGTGATCTCAGCTCACTGCAACCTCCACCTCCCAGCTTCAAGCGATTCTCCTGCCTCAGCCTCCTGAGTAGCTGGGATTACAGGCGCCCACCACAATGCCTGGCTAATTTTTATGTTTTTAGGAGAGTTGGAGTTTCACCGTGTTGGCCAGGCTGGTCTTGAACTCCTGGCCTCAAGTGATCCACCTGCCTCGGCCTCCCAAAGTGCTGGGATGACAGTCATGAGCCACCGCGCCTGGCCTTCTGGGGTCCTTTTCAACAGCACCTCCCACCCCTTCGCTCTGCAGCTGATCATGGACGAACAGGATCAACAGCTGGAGATGGTGTCTGGGAGCATCCAGGTTCTGAAGCACATGTCCGGCCGCGTTGGGGAAGAGCTGGACGAGCAGGGCATGTGAGGCCAGGACCCTGGGGGTGGGCCAGGGTCTCTCGGCCACCCTGGTTTGTCTGGGCCGTCTGGGGCTGATGCCATCCTGTTCTTGGCAGCATGCTGGATGCCTTCGCCCAAGAGATGGACCACACCCAGTCCCGCATGGACGGGGTCCTCAGGAAGTTGGCCAAAGTATCCCACATGACGAGTGGTGAGTCCCCTCGGGGGCGAGGTCAGTCCTAGTGGCGGCAGGTTGTAGGTGGTACCCTCTCCCCCGGTGACCTCTGATCTTCTCGTTCCCAGACCGCCGACAGTGGTGTGCCATCGCCGTGCTGGTGGGGGTGCTTCTCCTCGTTCTTATCTTACTTTTCTCTCTCTGACCCCAGCCCTCCCTGGCAGGCTGGTCCGTTAAGCCTGGGGAGCCACCAAGCACTTTGGAGCTGGCCTAGCCCCCTAGGAGGAGAGGGTCCCTCCTGGGTAGCTGGAAAGTAGAGGTTCCTGCCTGGGGAGCTGTCCCCACGGCTCCCCCCCAGAGCCAGTGGTACCCTTCAGGACCCTGGGCCGAAACCACCACCACTGGTCCTGTCTCAAGTGCACTTAGGGGGTGGTGGAGGCAGGGTCACCTCAGACACACCCCTCTCCATTTCCGGTTCCGGGACCCCAAAGCCATTCGCCCCTGTGCCTTACACATGTGCCAACCTGGAAATAAAACGTCAGCCTTTTTTATACGTATTTGTGTCGTGTGGTGTGTGTTGACTGCAAATGCGTGACTGAGCCCTGATTGGGACTCCCATTCTAAGCCAGTGCTTGCACAAGTGCCCCCGTGTGTGTGTGCACGTGTGCGTGTTCCGGATTCCTTTTTTTTTTTTTTTTGAGACAGAGTTTCACTCTTGTCACCCAGGCTGGAGTTCAGTGGTGCGATCTCTGCTAACTGCAACCTCCGCCTCCTGGTTTCCAGCAATTCTCCTGCCTCAGCCTCCCAAGTAGCTGGGATTGCAGGCATGTGCCACCACACCCAGCTAATTTTTGTATTTTTAGTAGAGATTGGGTTTCACCATGTTGGCCAGGCTGGTCTCAAACTCCCGACCTTAAGTGATTTGCCTGCCTCAGCCTCCCAAAGTGCTGGGATTACAGGCGTGAGCCACCACGCCCAGGTGAATCTTTTTTTTTTTAATGGCTTAGGTTCTCTTGATCTTTTTATTTTTATTTTTATTTTTAAGATGGAGTCTCGCTCTGTCACCCAGGCTGGAGTGCAATGGCGTGATCTCGGCTCACTGCAACCTCTGCCTCTTGGGTTGAAGCGGTTCTCATGCCTCAGCCTCCTGAATAGCTGGGATTACAGGAATGCTCCACCATACCCAACTAATTTTTTATTTGTAGTAGAGATGTGGTTTTGCCATGTTGGCCGGGCTGGTCTTGAACTTGAACTCCTGACCTCAAATGATCCGCCTATCTCGGCCTCCCAAAGTGCTGGGATTACAGGCATGAGCCACTGTGCCTGGCCTGTTTTGGGTTTGTTTGTTTGAGACAGGGTCTCTCTCACTCTGTCTCCCAGGTGGGAGTACAGTGGCACAATGATGGCTCACGGCAGCCCGGAACTCCTGGGCTTAAGGCAGCCTTCCACCTCAGCCTCCTAAGTAGCTGGGACCACAGGTGCATGCCACCTCGCCTGGCTATTTTATTTTTGTAGAGACAGGGTCTCCCTATATTGCCCGGGTTGGTCTCAAACTCCTGGGCTCTACTGATCCTCCTCTCTCAGCCTTCCAAAGTACTGGAATTATAGGTGTGAGCCACTGTGCCTGGCTTCTATGTTATTATTTATTTATTTAGAGACGGAGTCTTGCTCTGTCATCCAGGCTAGAGGGCAGTGGCACAATCTTGTCTCACTGCAACCTCCACCTCCCGGATTCAAGTGATTCTCCTGTCTCAGCCTCCCGAGTAGCTGGGATTACAAGCGCCCGCCACCACACCCAGATAATTTTTGTATTTTTAGTAGAGATGGGATTTTGCCATGTTGGCCAGGCTGGTCTTGAACTCCTGACCTCAGGTGATCCACCTGCCTCAGCCTCCCAAAGTGTTGGGATTACAGGCATGAACCACCACGCCCTGCGGATCTTTAATGTTCTTTCTTCCAACGTATGAGTGCTCTTCTGAATGCGTTGTGGAGTGTGTGTGTATGGGATGTGTTTCTGGGGCTTGGGGGATCAGCCACGGCACAGGCAGGCACTGAGTGAGCGAGCCAGTGATGCTGTAAACTTGACAGAGTCACAGCTCCCTTTTTCTATTGAGATGGGATCTCACTCTGTTGCCCATGCTGGAGTGCAGTGGTGCCATCGTAGCTCACTGCAGCCTTGACCTTCCCAGTTGAAATGATTTTCCTGCCTCAGCCTCCCAAATAGCTGGGAGTACACGTGCATGCCACCACACCTAGCTAATGAAAAGTGTATTTTTAGGCTAGGTGTGGTGGCTCACATCTGTAATCCCAGCACTTTGGGAGACCAGACTGACCAACATGGAGAAACCCATCTCTACTAAAAAAGTACAAAATTTAGCTGGGCGTGGTGGCGGATGCCTGTAATCCCAGCTACTCAGGAGGCTGAGGCAGAATTATTTGAACCCGGGAGGTGGTGGTTGCAGTGAGCCGAGATCGCACCATGGCACTACAGCCTGGGCAACAAGAGTGAAACTCCGACTCAAAAAAAAAACAAAAGGCCGGGTGCTGTGGCTCACGCCTATAATCCTAGCACTTTGGGAGGCCAAGGCGGGTGGATCACCTGAGGTCAGGAGTTCAAGCCCAACCTGACCAACATGGTGAAACCCTGTCTGTACTAAAAATACAAAAATTAGCCGGGCATGGTGGTGGGTGCCTGTAATTCTGGCTACCCAGGGGGACTGAGGCAGAATGGCTTGAACCCGCGAAGTGGAGGTTGCAGCGAGCCGAGATCATGCCACTCTAGCCTGGGCAACAGAGTGAGATTCCATCTCAAAAAAAAGAAAAAAAATTTTTTTTCTTGTGTTGCCCAGGATTCTCCTAGGTTTAAAGAGGCCCACTGAAGCCAGGCTGGGGGCTTGAGTGTGCAGAGCCAGCTCCTATGTTGTGTTATCTGTATCTGTTTGGGTAACTTGCACACGTGTTACAATCGGAGGCTATCAGTTTGCAGTCAGCAACCTGGGGCTGCTGGGCACAGCCCGGATGTGTTCCTCCCTGGGCCCCCCAGTAACAAGCATGCAGCAAGGCTGTTACAAAGGCGTTTAGTTTATTCTCATCAGTATCACTGATATTCTCATGGTTCACATTTGCCAACGCCGCTCCTCTCCTTACAGTAGTTAAATGTGCAATCTCACTTGGGGGCCCAGGGAGGGATGGGGGCTCGGCCCAGGGTGGGGAGGGCGTTGGCACTTCACGTGGACAGGGTGGGCAGCCTGTCCTACGTGAAAGAGGTGTGGGTGAGTGGGCGGCCAGGGAAGGGGAGTTGGCAGGGGAGGGCCCCACAGTCTTTTTTCTCTGGTGGTTGGTGATTCTCCATTCAGATTCCTTCCTGGCTGCCCAGGGTGGGGGAACCATGCAGCTCAGGGCAGGACAGGGGAGGAAGAGAAGGAAAAAGCAGCAGGCCGCCCGGGGGGAGGGGTGGAGGGTGAATGGCAGGGCAAGGGGGGCACAGGGGTGGCTCCTGGGGTAAGGCACAACCCTGTCTTTGGCTCTCCTGGTGAGGAGTTTCCTCCCCTGCACCCGCTGCCCCACCCTTCTTCCCCCCCATCCCCCAGACCCACACACAGTCCCGGGAGCCAGGGGGCACCTCCTGGGGTCCCTGAAACAAGTGGGCTCTGCCACCCAAGCCAGTGCCACAGGGGCTCGAAGAGGGACACCCAAGGAAAAGGCAGAGAGGGGCAGGCAGGGGCCTACCCAGGACAAGGGGGTGGGGGAGAGAAGACCCCAGGCCCAGAAGCTGCCCCCCCACCCCAACTAAGGCCTGGAAGTGGGGGAGCTTCCTTTCGGGGGTCTGGCTGGAGCCCCGGTCTGCCCCTCGGCCTCCGTCAGGCCCAGCTGCTTGCCAAGTGACCAGGGCATTGTGCTTTGGGGTAAACGCTGGGGTGGGGTGGCAGGCCAGGAGGCGGGGGGAGAGGAGGGGCGACTAAGGTGCTTGTGCTTTAGCTGGGGGTGTCAACATCCCCCACTCAGACCGGCTGGGGGCTAAGGTGCCAAGCCCCAGCCAGGAAGACAGTGCCAAGACCCCAGCCAGACCCTGGCACTCATGACTGACCCCCGCAACAAGCAGATGTTAAGAGGGACCCCCAGTAGGCCGGTGGGGCTGCTGGTCCCATCAGGGGGATGGTCTCCGAATCAGATTCCAAGGGTCCAGTCGGGGCTGGCCCCCACTCCATCTCCTGAAATGCCCCTGCCCCTGGAGAGACCCCTGGGAGCAGTGGGTAGGCAGGGGTTGGGGAGGCAGAGGAGAGGCAGGGAGGACGAGGGCCAGAAACACAAACAAGGATGTGGATGGTGAAATGACACCCCGCGTAGGGGGATGGGGAGTTTAAAAAAAAAACAAACTCTCTGCCTTCACATAAAAATCTAAAACAACAACAAAAAACCACCCACTCTGGGTGAGAACAAAAAGAGAGGAATGGTAAAAGAGAAAATTCTGCAAACAACTGCTAACAATGGAAGTGGACCCGACCCGGCCCTGCCCTGCCCTGCCCTGCCCTGCCCTGCCCTGCCCTGCCCAGCCCAGCCGCCAGGAGCTGGGCCCAGTCAACCAGCCAAGGCCTGGGACACCCTTAAACTATAGCCCTGTTGGGGAAGGTGGACAGGGGAGGGGGAACCCGGCGGGACCCACAGGAGCCTAGGCAGCAGCTGGGACTGGAGTCCTACCATGGAAACACACACCCACACCCCAGACACACACACACACACACACACACACACACATTCAGGCTGCCCCCAAGTCCCCCGACACCATCCTGCCTTCCACGGTACCCCCCACCCCTGGGGACCGAGGAGGACAACAGACACAGCCCCATTGGTTTGAAAAATAAAAGGAATCTTATACTTCAATATTTCATTCGCTAAAAAAATGTTTTAAAAATTATGTACAGGGGGTGGGGGCCAGGAGCCCTGCCGTGGGGTTGGGTGGGGGTGGGGAGATGGAGGGAGGGGCAGCAGCCCCCCAGTCTGCTCCCCTGGGTTCCAACCCAGGTCCTACTGCCTCTTGTATCTTCATTTGTTTGAAAGCAAAACTTTTGCACACACACACACACGCACACGCTCTGCCAGCCCTGGAAACCTCTCATTCTATCCTCCGAGACCCTTGATCTGCCCCCAAGAGACCCCCCCTCCTTTAGGACCTGCCTCTCTGAGGCCCCAGAGGACCAATGGGGGCAACAGAGGCGGAAAAGAGGAGAAAGGGCACCGGGCACACCACTGCCGGCCACCTTAGGTCGGTTGTGCAATTTCTCGGAGCCTCAATTTCCCCAGCTGTAAAATGGGTAGTCCCCATGGCCTCGCCTACCCCAGCCCCCAGGCGCAGGGACAGACGAGGGTGACAGGAAGGCGCTTTTGGAGACGTGGAAGCACTGGGAGGTGGTGGGAGGGGTCCTGAGAACCCCTGGGGCCCCCTCAAGTCCCAAGGGGCTGCAGTGAGGGGCGGAGGCTGAAGGCTTCCGCGAGGTGGCCCAGGGCCTGGGGAGGGGGCCTTCCCGAGACCCCCAGGCCAGCCCCCTCCCCTGGCGGGCCTGGTGAGTGTGGAGATGACGGCTAGGGGTTAGGTTGGGGAGCCAGAACTCCCCCACTGCACGAGTGTGTGTTAAAGAAGGCAACACGGACCTCACGCCACCTGCCCTGCAGTCCTCTCCCGGCCCAGCTCTTGGTGGGGGAAGGGGGTGGGACAGGAGGGGCAGAGGGCCGGGAACATGCAGCACCCACCGCGGGTCCTGGGGAGGGACAGACAGTAGCTCATGACCAAGATGGCGGGTGTGTGTGTGTTGGGAGGGGGAGCGTGAGGCCCCGCAGGAGGCGGGGCGGGTTACTGCAGGGCCTCGGCTGAGGGACCCGCCTCTCCCTCGTGGCTGGCGGTCTCGAAGCCATGCTCCACGCCCATCATGTCCGGCTCGATCTTGCCCGTTTCACTGATGAAGGTGGTGTAGGCGTCATCCTCAGCCTTGAGCACCTTGACCTTGGGCATCCAGCTCTTGCGCACGACGCGGCGGGCATTGGTGCACATGTCGGCCGCGATGGCATTCATCTCGCTCTCCTTGAAGTTAGGGGCAAAGTTCTGGCAGTAGTCTGTGGGGCAGAGTGGGTGCGGCCTTGGCACGGGGGCCAGGTGACTCCCACAAGGCCTACTCACCAGCCCCCCCGCCAGCATCTGCGACTCCCCCTCAAAGGGGAGACGAGTGAGGCCACGTAGCCAGGACACCACACCATGTGCACCCAGCCCTACACCGGACTGAGTTCAGCCATGTATGGGGATGTGTGGGTTTTGATGGGATGGCCCCGTGTTCTTGAAAAATTTGGATCATTTGCCAGAATTTAGTAACTGGGAGAGGCCACCCGAAAATCTAGATGCCCCCCATGAGGAGTGGCTAGCACTGTCTGGCTGCCTCATCCCTCCCAGACTGCCCTGAGTTCGAGACCCTCCTGCCTGACACAGGCTCCCTGGCTTCCCTTCGGCACCCGCATCCCCCAACCACGAATAAATCTCTAAACAATCACAGCCGGTTTCCCAGCAAGGCTAGACTGAGTCCCAGAATGCTTCTCAACACCAAACTCTAGCCCCCTCTGAGAGCCAAGGCTGAGAGAAGACGTCAACCTGCATGCCCGGGGCCCACGCCCTGTCCAGCTGGGCCGACACTCACACTTGACAGCATGGAGCACGCGGCTGTCCAGGGGCTTCCGGCGGGGATCGTTGGTAGAAGAGCGGATGCCGGTGCCACAGCTGTTGGCCAGTGTGTTCCTGGGGGCAGGGGACATGGAGGGAGTCAGTGCTCAAGTTGGTGGTGGTGGGGACATGGGGCAACCCCACCCCCCTCCCTGCGGCTCTGGCAAGGGCCTTACCGGTCAAAGAAGGAGGCCAGGAGCCGCCGCAGGAGAACCTTGTGCCGTGTGCCTGCGCTGACGTGGCAGTTCATCAGCTGCGCCCTTGTGATGTATACGTTGGTGCCTGGTGAGGGGAAGCCAGAGGATGGCCTGGGGTGCCCCCAAACCGCCACAGCCCCCATGATGCCAGGCCTCATCTCAGAACACCCCACGCCCTCCCTGGCTCTGGGTCCCAAAAACTCACCTAGGGACCTTCTCCCCTACACCTCTACCCACCAAGGGCTCCTTGGGACTCAGGGGAGGCTCCTTGGGACTCCCCCCACCTCATCAGTGCTCAGGAAAGGACAGAAAGGGTGGCTTCACCATCCTCAGGGCGCCTGCCGTGTGGCCGGTCGTGCCGCAAGCCTGTGTGAGGTGGGCACGCTGGCTGTCACCAGCTAGAGATGAGCCCAAGCTCGGCAGGACCAACAGGGAGTGGAGGCTCACAGCCAGGAACTCTGACCCAAGGGCCAAACACAGTCGTCGTCTTTTTTTTTTTTTTGAGACAGTCTCGCTCTGTCGCCCAGGCTGGAGTGCAGTGGCACGATCTTGGCTCACTGCAAGCTCCGCCTCCCGGGTTCACGCCATTCTCCTGCCTCAGCCTCCCCAGTAGCTGGGACTACAGGCACCCGCCACCACGCCCGGCTAATTGTTTGTATTTTTAGTAGAGACGGGGTTTCACCCCGTTAATCAGGATGGTCTCGATCTCCTGACCTCGTGATCCGCCCGCCTCAGCCTCGGAAAGTGCTGAACCACTACGCCCGGCCTCTCTTTTTTTTAAGAGATGAAGTCTCACTCTGTCGCCCAGGCTGGAGTGCAGCGGCCACCATAGCTCACTGCAGCCTTGACCTCCTGGGCTCAAGGGATCCTCCCACCTCAGCCTCCTGAGTAGCTGGGACTACAGGCATTCGCCCCCCTGCCTGCCCAAATTCTTAACCTAGGTAAATAACTGACCTTCACAGGAGCCCAGGAGTAGCTTTTCTACCCATGTGGCCAAACAATAATTGCCCATGCTCACCCTGACCCCTTAAGTCAGAAACCTAGAGGCCAGGCCTTGCTGTATCAGCACCTCCATCTCACCAACGCCCCCACCCTGAGGGTGGCTGTTACCAACACTACAGTACAGATAGGGAAACTGAGGTGCTGGGGGCTCCTAACTAGCTGCCCAGCCCAGGCCAGCTGGCTCCAAAGTTGTGGAGGGGAGAGATCTGGGGCAAGGCCAGCCCACCTGTCACCAGCTCCAGCTTCTCAGAGGGGTCGCCCTCGTCGTAGAGCTTGGGGTGGCAGCGGTTCCCAATCTGGTTGATAAGCTCAGCCGGGAGAGACGCCAGGTCTTGCCGAACCCGGATACGATTCCGGGACTCGGGGGCCACCTGCTCCGGGAGGGCCTCCACTTTCTCGGCTGCAGGGAGAGAGTAGAGCACGAGTGGCAGGAGAGGCAGGGGTTGCTGGCGGGGTGGGGGGCAGGGCGGCATCTCACCTGTCTGGCCGACGTTCATCATGCTGTACATGGTGTACATGTTGCAGATCTGCCGGTACTGCTCATCCATGCCCTCCTCGCCGCCGTCCTCCTCCTCGTCCTCCTCATTGTGGTAGGAGCCAGGGCTGTCGCTGGTGTAGGCGCTCGAGGTGCCCGGGCTGGTCCGCTCTGACGTGCTGGGCCCACTCACTACGCCCCCTGCTGCCGCCACCCCACTGGCCGGCTGCCCTGCTCCCGTGGCCACGGCGGGCTGGGCTGCTGCCACCACCGGAGCCTGTTGGGGTGGCGGGGGCTGGTGAGGCCGGTTGGCAGCCAGGTCCGGCGTGGAGAACTTGGCCATTTTGCGGCTGCCGTTGCTGCTGCCCCCAGCCTCCTTCTGGCCACTGTCCCACAGCCGCTTGGCCACAGGCATGCACTGCACAGAGTCCGACTCCTGCTGCTCTGTCTTCACCCGTGACACGAGGGGCAGTGGAGTGCTACAGGCTGGCCAGCCCGACGTCTGCGCCACGGGGCTCTGGGGCTCCGACGATGGGGCCTCCTCTGCGTGCAGGCCCTGGGAGTCGCAGCTTGGGGAGCTCACCTTGAGGAAGAACTCGGTGCCCTTCTCCATGATCTCCTGGATCTGCAGGAAGCCAGCCGTGTACATGAGCAGGAACTGGTCACCCACGTTCATGCTCAGCCGGCCCGTGTAGCAGAAGCTGAGGATCTGCTGGAAAGACTGGGGTTGCACGGCCGCCGGCAGCTCCACCACGGCGCTGCGGCTGTTGTTGAACAGGTCCCGGAAGTAGGAGCTGCTGGCAGCCAGCACAGCCCGGTGGGCCTTGAAGGCATGGCCCTTGACCACCACCGACACGTCACAGTACAGGCCCTGTAGCCGCTGCTCATTGAGGCACTCCAGGATGCTGTTGCCAAAGTTCGGGATCTCCATCTGCAGTGTCTGGGCCATGGCGGCGGCTGCACGGGGGCAGGGAGGAATGGAGAGACAGAGACGGAGGAAAAGGGTCAGGCGGCAAATGTGGGTGCTGGCCTAGCCCTGGCCCCAAAGACCTCCCCTGCTGGAGGGACATCCACACGATGGAATCTGCCATGGTGCTAAATCGCACAGAGCCCTCTACCCTATCTGTCCTGGTACACTCACTTTTACAATATGTGGTCAAATCTGCTAACCTAGTTGCAGACCAGGGTGGCCACGCACTGTCCCTTGCAAAGAGGAGGGGGGCAAACGCATACTTATTCCGTATGTACTTAAAGAGTAATTGAATATGCTTAAGTGCTTGGAAGAGTAGCTAGGACACAGTGTGCTACCTCTGAGTGCCAGCTATTGCTAGCACCAGGTACATATATGGTATCTCTGCAGTGTACTGGCACGGAAATGCCAGTAAGGTAGGGTCATCTGACTGTGCACCAGAGTCTGCAGTGCTGGGCACATGCCCCTCAATCACTGTTTGTTGAATGACTAAATGATCACTCAAGAAATTACATGAGGTCGGGCGTGGTGGCTCACTCAAGTAATCCCAGCATTCTGGGAGGCTGAGGCAGGCAGATCACTTGAGGCCAGGAGTTCGAGACCAGCTTGGCCAACATGGCAAAACCCTGTCTACCAAAAATACAAAAATTAGCCAGGTGAGGTGGCGTGGGCCTGTAGTCCCAGCTACTAGGGAGGCTGAGGCCAGAGAATTGCTTGAACCCAGGAGATAGACGTTGCAGTGAGCCGAGATCACGGCACTGTACTCCAGCCTGGGAGACAGAATAAGACTGTCTCAAAAAAAAAAAAAAAAAAAGGAAAAATAAATTATACGAGGCTGGGTGCAGTAGTGGCTCATGCCTGTAATTTCAGCACTTTGGGATGGCGAGGCATGTGGATCACTTGAGCCTAGGAGACTGAGACCAGCCTGGGCAACATGGCGAAACCCTGCCTCTTACGAAAAATACAAAAATTAGCCCGGCATTGTGGAGCACACCTGTGGTCCTAGCTACTAAGGAGGGTGTGCAGGGGTGGATCTGTTGAGCCCAGGAGGTCAAGGCTGCAGTGAGCTGTGATTGTGCCACTACACTCCAGCCTGGGCGACAGAGACACTGTCTCAAAAATAAATAAATAAATAAAGAACTTACATGAAAACATCTCTAGTCATCAGGGAAATTACAAGAAAACATCACTAGTCACCAGGGAAATGCAAATCCTAACCACAATGAGACACCATCTCACACCCACTAGGCTGGCTAGAATCAAAAAAGTTGGCGAAGATGAGAAATCCGGAACCCTCTTCCACTGCTTGTGGGAATGTCAAATGGCACAGCCACCATGGAGAACAGTCTGATGGTTCCTCAAACGGTTAAAGAAAGTTACCATATGACCCAGCAATTCCACTCCTGGAATTCATGCCCAGGAAAAACAAAAACATTTGCCCGCATTGAAAACCTGTACACAAACGTTCACAGCAGCATTATTCACAATAGCCCAAAGGTGGAAACGATCCAAACGTCCATCTGCGGATGGATGGGCCAACAAAATGTGGTCAGTCCATACAATGGGATATTATTCAGCTATAAAAAGGAAGGAAATTCTGACACACGCTACAACATGGATGTCCCTGGAAAACATTATTCCAAGTGAAAGAGGCCAAACAAAAGGACCACAGATTGTATGATCCATTTATAGGAAATGTCCAGGACAGGCAAATCCATGCAGACAGGAGGCAGATTAGTGGTTGCCAGGGGCTGGGAGGCAGGGAGAATGGGGGTGTGGTGAGGGAAAGCAAAGGTGTGTGGGGTTTTTTTTATTTTTATTTTTATTTTTTGAGATGGAGTCTCACTCTGTTGCCCAGGCTGCAGTGCAGTGCTGCGATCGTGGCTCACTGCAACCTCTGCCTCCCAGGTTCAAGTGATTCATCCTGCCTCAGCCTCCCTGAGTAACTGGGCTTATAGGTGCGCACCACCACACCGGCTAATTTTTGTATTTTTAGTAGAGATGGGGTTTCACCATGTTGGCCAGACTGGTCTCGAACTCCTGACCTCAGGTGATCCACCTGCCTCAGCCTCCCAAAGTGCTGGGATGACAGGCATGAACCATCACGCCCGGCTGGGGTTTATTCTTGACGTAATGAAAAATCTTCTAAAACTGACTGTGGTGATGGTTGCATAACTCTGTGAATATACTAAGACCATTAACTGTACACTTTAAATGGGCATGGTGTGAGCATCTCAATAAAGTTGTTAAAAAAAGAAAGAAAGGAGGAAACTGTGAGACTGATTTCCTTTGGGCAGAAGTGGGGAGGAGACTTGCAAAGTACACTTTCAGCTCTTTTGAATTTTAAACCTGGTGAACGAAATGCCTATTTGCAGAAGTAAATAATATTTAAAAAGAAATAAAACTGTGAAATCATGCCATACATATTTAATTCAAGCAAATTGGCTCAAAAGTGCTCGAGGGCAGGGAGGGAAGAAATGGGAATTTTTTTTTTTTTTTTAAAGAGACAGGGTCTCATTCTGCCATCCAGTCTAGAGTGTTGTGTCAAGACGATAGCTTACTACGGGTCTTGAACTCTTTGGCTCAGGGGATCCTCCTGCCTCAACTTCCTGAGTAGCTGAGACTATAGGTGTACACCACCACGCCTAGCTAAGTTTTAAACTTTCTGTAGAGACAGGGTCTTTCTATGTTGCCCAGGTTGGTCAAGAACTCCTGGCCTCAAGCGATCCCCCACCTTGGCCTCCAGAAATGGGAACTGATGCTGCTCAGAGAGCCCACCCCCCACACTGAACAGCTTGGGGAGGTGGCGGAAGTGGGGGTCTCAATGTGTGAACTTCTGCATCGGACCCTGTACTGCCTCTTCCAGGAGGAAGAACTGGCTGTGTGGGACGCGAGAAGGCTGTCCTTTGATGACACTCTGGGGCAGTCATCAAAGGAAGGTGTGGCTTTCTACCTGACCCCGCTGCTAAAAGTGAGAATTCTTTTCTTTCTTTTTTTTTTTTGAGATGGAGTCCTGCTCTGTCACCCAGGCTGGAGTGCACTGGCACGATCGCAGCTCAATGCAAGCTCCGCTTCCCGGGTTCACGCCATTCTCCTACCTCAGCCTCCCGAGTAGCTGGGACTACAGGAGCCCGCCACCACGTCTGGCTAATTTTATGTATTTTTAGTAGAGACAGGGTTTCACCATGTTGGTCAGGATGATCTCGATCTCCTGACCACAGGTGACCCACCTGCCTCGGCCTTCCAAAGTGCTGGGATTACAGGCATGAGCCACCGCGCCTGGCCTTTTTTTTTTTTTAAATTGAGATGGAGTCTCACTCTGTCGCCCAGGCTGGAGTGCTGGGATTCCAGGCGTGAGCTATCACGCCCAGCCTCCTCTGTAATTCTATAGGGTCTCTAGAGTCCTAACTGGGCAGAGTGTGAGTGAGAAGTCTTCCCTAAGACAGACCTTTCCAGAGAGACTCCAGCTGGCCAGTGGGAGAAGGTAACAAGTACATGCAAAGGCCCTGGCGCAGGAATGCACACCTTCCCTCCCTCCCAGTTAGCTCTCAAGCACCTTCCATGTTTCCTTAGCAACTCCACTCAGATCTGCCTCCCTGGGCTGGGCACTGAGAATACAGTGGCCACTCTGCTCTGATCTGGTAACACCTGTTCAGTCTGAAAGGGCTGCTGTGAGGAATAGAAGTGGCAAGTGTTCAAAGGCTCAGAGTTGCAACCTAAGTTGAGTCCTGGCTCCGCCACCAACCTGCTCCTCCGACCAGGAGCTCCAAATCTCTGCTTTCTCCATTTGGAAATCGAGGCTGAGGAGGCCAACTGATTCTACAAACTCAGCCTACACTTATTGTTACTGAATGATCATTCAAGAAGTTACACGGAAACGTCACTAGTCATCAGGGAAATGTGAATCCTAACCACAGTGAGATACCATCTCACTCACTGAGCTGCTACCCTGGCAGGCCACAGGCAAGATGCGGGCCCTGCCCCCTTGCAACACCCAGGCGAATGGAGGAACCAACTCACAACTTCTATGAACTGCCTGAATCCTCTTAGCAAGACTTCAGGGCTGGTTTCATACTCTCCTTGCAAAGCTGGAAAAACTGAGGTCATGTAGAAATTAAAGACTGTCCTGAGGTCATCTAAAAATTCATCCACCAGGTTCAAAATTCAAAAGATATGTCCTGAAGGGTGGGATGGCTCAAGCCTGTAATCCCAGCACTTTTTTTTTTTTTTTTTTGAGACAGAGTCTTGCTCTGTCACCCAGGCTGGAGTGCAATAGCGCCATCTCGGCTCACTGCAACCTCTGCCTCCTGTGTTCAAGTGATTCTCAGCCTCCCGAGTAGCCGGGCCTATAGGCATGTGCCACCACTTCTGGCTAATTTTTGCACTTTTAGTAGAGATGTGGTTTCACTATATAGGTCAGGCTAGTATTGAACTACTGACCTCAAATGATCCTCCCGCCTTGGCCTCCCAAAGTGCTAAGATTACAGGCATGAGCCACCACACCTGGCCAATCCCAGCACTTTGGGAGGCCAAGTCAGGCGGATCACCTGAGGTCGGGAGTTCAAGATCAGTCTGGCAAACACGGTGAAACCCGTCTTTATTAAAAATACAAAAATTAGCTCGGCATGGTGGCAGGTGCCTGTAAACCCAGCTACTCGGGAGGCTGAGGCAGGAGAATCACTTGAACCTGGGAGGGTGGAGGTTGTGAGCCAAGATTGTGCACTCTAGCCTAGGTAACAGAGTGAGACTATGTCTCAAAACAAAAACAAACAAAAAAACCCAAGAGATGTCCTAAGGTATCGGCTACCCCCTACAACTTACATGCCAGAAGTGGTAAGGCCGAGATTCAAACCAGGGTCTGTCTAGGCACTACAGCCTGTGACTTCCCTTGCTTGTATCCTCCTTCCTCTTCCCCTCCTCAAAATCACTGCCACCATCCTACAAAAACACAAACAAAACAAAACAAAACAAAATCCCAAAACATCCTTAGGACAAACAGAGGGTGGAGGCTGGATCTAGGAATCCCAGTTACAAGGCAGCAAAAATCTCCTCCTAGGAACTCAAACTCAGAGCTGAATGGGCCAGGAGCTGGCCCCTCTGTATGAAGACGCAGGAGAAACAAGCACCGTGTTGGGGGGCAAAGGACAGAGCCCAGAGAGCCTACTTCTGGGGTCCTGGCAGCCCTGAACCACCTCCCTAGGCAGCCAAATTAAAGCCACCCCTGGTACTGGGGCCCAAATGACAAGGACCAAGATGGTCAAGGGAAGAGGCTGGCACCCCAGTTCCTAGAGGGGTGCTCCAAGCTCATTCCCCAGGGAGGAGGACAAAGACAGGACAGGTGTGCAGTGCAGCCAAAACCCCCCACCACCCTGTGCCCCAGTTTGTTCATCTGTAAAATGGGCTGTTCATCCAACCCATCCTGATGAACCAGATCCTCCTTTGTGGGAGGTGCTGGGGACACAGTCCTAAAAGGACCAGCTGTGCTTATGTGGAGCTGTCTAGTGAGGAGACACAGGGGATGATTTAATTACAGTTGGGGTGGGTATGTCAACTGAGCAGATGGCCTTGGTGGTAGGGACCATTAAAGGTTGAGCAACAGCCAGGACAGAGATAACACTCCTGGGCAGGAAGGTATCGGGTGTGGTCCAGGGACCCAAAGAAAGCTGGTGTAGCTGGAGGGCGATGCAGCAGGGACAGGACTGCCAGGAAGGGTATGGGACAAATGGGGTCCTGGCCTAGGGAATGTGGACATCTTTGAAAGTGAGTCCCAGGGTCAGGGCAGCATTTTAAGAGTTGTATGTACAGGCCAGGCGCGGTGGCTCACGCCTGTAATCCCAGCACATTGGGAGGCCAAGGCAGATGGATCACCTGAGGTCAGGAGGTCAAGACCAGCTTGGCCAAGTTGGCGAAACCCCGTCTCTACTAAAAATACAAAAATTAGCTGGGTGTGGTGTGCACATCTGTAGTTCCAGCTACTTGGGACGCTGAGGCACGAGAATCGCTTGAACCTGGGAGATGAAGGTTGCAGTGAGCCAAGATCAAGCCACTGCACTCTAGCCTGGGCAACACAGCGAGACTCCATCTCAAAAAAAAAGAAAAGAAAAGAAAAAAAGAGTTGTATGTAGAGTTAAACCCTCCAAGGGGACTGTCAGCTCAATGAAGGCGGACATTCTGGCTGGTTTTATTCAACATTAGTTCTTTAGAATGAAATAGATGCTCAGTTAAATATTTGTAAATGTGTTAAAGAACAGTACAGAGAGGCTGGGCACGGTGGCTCACGCCTGTAATCATAGCACTCTGGGAGGCAGAAGCAGGAGGATCCCTTGAAGCCAGGGGTTCAAGACCAGCCTGGGCAACATAGCGAGACCTCTACCTCGACAAAAAATTTAAAAATTAGTGGGGCTTGGTGGCTTGCACCTGTAGTCCCAGCTACTTGGGAGGCTCAGGTGGGAGGATCACTTGAGCCAAAAACTTAGAGGCTGCAGAGAGTGATGACTTTGCCACTATATTTCAGCCTGGGTTACACAGCGAGACCCTGTCTCTAAAAACAAAAGCAAAAACAAAAAACCGCATCCCCCGACCCCACTACCCTGCCAAAACCAACCAACCAACTAACCAACCAACCAAACAAAAAAAACAGTGCAGAACAGGCAAAGGACTACTTCAAGGTGACCTTACCAAGCGCCCGGCACCGGCCACAGGTAATTTTTTTTTTTTTTTTTTAAAGACAGGGTCTCACTATGTTGTACAGGCTGGTCTCGAACTCCCCCCTTTGGCAATGGAGACTGAAAGGTTTTGGGGATAACAGGAGGCAACAGAGATGTGGGGGCTGGGAAGGTGGCCCAGGTCCCCTCCTGAGAATGAGAGCCAACCTGATGCTCAGACTGGGGTCCCCCATACCTTGTGAACCCCAGCTTCAGAGCCCAACATCCCAGCACCCAGGGCTTTGGAGCCTTTGATTAGCAATTGGTCCAAACAGCTCCGCCAATTAGCACACGGGAACCCTCCCTCCCTCCATGCTGCTGGGGACGAGCGGAGTGGTGCGACGGGTCTGTGAGCCACAGTGACCTGAATGCTGTTCCGTCTGGTTCCCCAGTAGCCCCTGCACAGAGTGGACGGGGTGAGCTGCAGTGTGGGCCACAGCAGATTCAGCTCTGGGAACCCCTCCATCTGTCTGTGATTGGCCCAATCCTGCCCAATGGACTCAGGAGAAAAACTACGTGGGCCCCTGCAAGAAGCCCTCACCCACGCCAGCCCCAGGAATGGAGCTAGCATGACTGGACTCTCAGAGGAAACAGGTCTCTCACTGGCAGGTCCCTGACAGGGTCACCTGCTGGCTGAAGCAGGGGTGGGATGGAGTCGAGGATTGAGGCCTCTAAACCACCTAATGGTTCTAGTCCCCACCAAATCCCCACCTAGGTCAGGCTCAAACACACTACCTGGTCCCCCTCTACTGTGGCGAGGCCTTTGCCCAAGCTGTGCACCCTGCCCGAATACCTTCTTCCTCCACCCTCAGCTACTCACTTCTCCAGGCTAGAGAAGATGTCCCTCTCCTGCCCCACCCCAGCCACAGTGCCCTTAAGCTTACCTCTGAGGAAACTAAGTCCCACTTGACTATAAACTCCCCAAGGGCAGAAAGCCCTATCAGAATCATCTCTCCTTAAAATTCAGCATATCAGCACCCCTGAGGGTGTGGGGGACAAGGGCAGAGGCCACAGGGCAGCTGGGACCTTCCTGGCCAGGACAGTACCTAGTCCTGGCCCTGCACGTGAACAGATCTTCTGGTGAGACCCAAGGGCACAGCACACGGTTTCCATGACTTCCCAACAATTACTCAATAAATATTTGCCAGGTCCCTGCCTGCGCCGGCCACAATGGTGACAAGTAGCCCTGCCTCTGGAGCTCACAGTCTGGCAGGAGACAGGGCCATTCATCCTTGGTCACACAGATCAATGTGCTGCACACCGGTGTGACTGACCTTGCCCAGAAGCGGTGACACTGGAGCTGAGATCTAGGGAGGGCACTAGTGGATGGGGAGTAAGACCCTTCCAGAAAGGGTTTTCACCTCCAGGGGACTGGGCTCAGTCTCAGGGCTCTGCTATGGACGGAGTATGTCCCTCCAAATTCACAGATTGAAATCCTAAGCCCCAGTGTGCCTGCATCTGGAGATAAGACCTTTGGGAGCTAATTCAGGTTAACTGAGGTCATAAGGGTGTATTAAGAAGGCAGCTGTCTGTATGCCACGAAGACAGCCCTCACCAGAACCTAACCACACTGGCACTCTCATCTCAGACTGAAAGTCCCCAGCACTCTGAAATGTAAATGTCTGTTGTTTAAGTCACCCAGTCTATGATATTTTGTTGTGTGGCAGCTTGAGCTAAGACAGGCCTGAAGCGCCATCTATTCACTGATGCCTCCCCCACTGGAGTCTTTGGCCCGGATTTCCCTGTGAACGCCAGACTTGCACACACCCCAGACGCCTCCACTCAACACTTTCAGGACCCGGCTCCAGTCCTTCCCAAAACCTGTGAATGCCGTAGCTTCACCAGCTATGGCCGTCCTCGCTCAGATCCTTGGATTCATCTTCAACTCCTTTAAAACCACTTTGCACTACCTTGGCCCCAAGTGACACTGCTTGGGCCCCTACAATGCTTTATTGGGGCCCCTGGCAGTCTGCCCTGCTTGCTCTTGGACCTACTAGAATGGCAATGGGACAGCCATAGCTCTTCATACTCTCCCCGGGTCACATAAAGCCCTTTCTCTACTCATTTTTTTTTTTTGGAGACAGGGCCTTGCTCTGTCACCCAGGCTGGAGTACACTGGCACCATCATAGCTCACTTCAACCTCAAACTCCTGAGCTCAAGCAATCCTCCCACCTCAGTTTCCCAAATAGCTGGGACCACAGAAGCTACATCCAGCTAATTTTTTTTCTTTCTTTCTTTTTTTTTTTTTTACCCAGGCTGGTCTCAAACTCCTGGGCTCAAACGATCCTCCTGCCTCGGTCTCCCAAAGTGCTGGGATTACAGATGCGAGCCACTGCCCCCGCCAAACTGGGCATTTTTTTGGGCTTCAGCTTCATGTCAGTTTCCCTGGGGCAGGGAGTTTGCCTGTGTAGACCCCTGTTGTGTCCTCTACCCCTAGGACCTGACCAGGTACACAGTGGGTGCTCACGGTCCTTTATGGAAAGAACAAACAAAGAATTACTTCCATTCCTCCTAATCTAACTCCCTTTTTTTGTTCCACATTAACGTGGCTCAAACAGGAATAGGGCTCAGAAACATGATCTGTGGCTGGGCAGACAGACGACCTCCTATGACAGTTGCCAAGGTGGGTAGCCAGCAGTCAGGGGCCTACTGAGACCTCAGTGTTACCTGATGAATTGCTCACACTGCCGGTGGATCCTGCCATCTGCGGGAAGGGCGCTGGCAGGATGATTCCTGGGAGTAGTAACTGCCAGCTCTTAGGGAAGAGAGCCGCGGAATTCCCCAGCCAGCAGGGGCCTGTGAGAGACTGTCAAAGGCACAGTCCTTTCCTGATGTCTTTCCAGGGAAGCTGTGACATGGCCGTCGACAGATGCTATGGTCTGAATGTTTGCATCTCCCCAAAATTCACACACTGAAGCCTATCTCCAAGGTAGTGGTATTAAGAAGTGGGGCTGGCTGGGCGCAGTGACTCACACCTGTAACCCCAGCACTTTAGGAGGCCAAGGAGGGCGGATCACGAGGTCAGGAGACGGAGACCATCCTGGCTAACACGGTGAAACCCCATCTCTACTAAAAATACAAAAAATCAGCCGGGCATGGTGGCACGTGCCTGTAATCCCAGCTACTCGGGAGGCTGAGGCAGGAGAATCGCTTGAACTTGGGAGGCAAAGGTTGCAGTGAGCCGAGATCGCGCCTATGCACTCCAGCCTGGCAACAGAGCAAGACTCCATCTAAAAAAAAAAAAAAAAAAAAAAAGTTAGGCCTTTCAGCCAGGTATGGTGGTTCATGCCTGTAATCCCAACACTTTGGGAGGCCGAGGTGGGCGGATCACCTGAGGTCAGGAGTTCAAGATCGAGACTAGCCTGGCCAGTATGGTGAAACCCCATCTCTACTAAAAATACAAAAATTAGCTGGGTGCAGTGGTGCACACCTGAAATCCCAGCTATTCGGGAGGCGGAGGCAGAATAATTGCTTGAACCTAGGAGTTGGAAGTTGCGGCAAGCCAAGATCACGCCACTGCACTCTAGTCTGGGCAACACAGCAAGACTCCATCTCAAAATAAAAAAGAAGTTGTTGATCAAAAATTTAAAATGAAAAAAAAAAAAAGTGGGGCCTTTGGGAAGTGATTCTTAGGAACTGTGCCCGTATAAAAGAGGAGGAGCTTGTTTGTCCTTGCCACCCTATGCAGATAGCTAAAAGGTGCTATCTATGAGAGATGGGCCCTCACTAGACAGGGAATCTGCTGGCACTGTGATATGGGACTTCCCACCCTCTACAACTATAAGCAGCTCATCTCTGTTGTTTATCAATGGCCCAGTCTGTTTTGTTTTTTTGAGACAGGGTCTTCCTCTGTCACCCAGGCTGAAGTGTAGTGGTGCAATCTTGGATCACTATATCCTCAAACTCCTGGGCTCAAGTTATCCTCTCACCTCAGCCTCCTGGGTAGCTGGGACTAGGGATGCGTGCCACCACACCTGGCTAATTAAAAAAATTTTGTGTAAAGATGAGAGACCTGTGTTCTCAGGATCTCCTGAGGGCTGTGTCACAAGCGAAAAACAAATTGAAATTAATTTTTTTTGTAAAGATGAGGTCTCACTATGTTGCCCAGGCTGGTCTCGAACTCCTGCGCTCAAGCAATCCTCCCATCTCAGCCTCCTAAATGCTGAGGTTAGAGGCATGAGCAATGTGCGTGGATTCCAGTCTAAGGTATTTTATTACAGCAGCCCAGATGGGCTAAGACCTACAAGACCTACAAGCCAGTTAAGGGAGACCAGCAACTCCAAGTGTAACAAGGAACAAAGGCCCCAGGGAGCCCCACAGTGCTTCATGCAGCTCAGCAGGATGCGGCTAGATCCTGGCAGCTGCTCAGGTTGCCTGCCTGACCCAGAACCATGCAGACCCTTCTGTAGGGGCTGAATGTGAAGGCAGTCCAGGAAAACGGTTAGTGAGAACAAAGTGTTCAGTGGGGGGTGGTGACTCACACCTGTAATCCCAGAACTTTGGGAGGCTGAGGCAGGAAGATGCTTGAAGCCAGG